CAAAGAATAATGGTTGTAGTTACTCACATTTTACCTGATTTTCCCCAAGAATTATACCTGTACTGAGCATTTTTGCTTCTCACCTCCCCCCTCATGAGGAAAGTCTTAGTCAGCCCTATTTTACAGATGGCAAAGACAAGGCAGAAGGAATTACACAGCAAACCAGTGGCTGAACTTGCTATGGCAGTTAATTAAGAGATCTCTTGTTCAGACACAGTTTCATATAATGAGGCAGCTTTCTGCCTATTGAGGTATGTGAGACATAAACTCCAGTCTTCCACACTTGAAATGGACAGTCCAGCCACTGATATGGGATTGAATTGCTCATTGAAATGTTAATTGGTGCATTAATTCCACGATTTTATCTTTCAGGGAATGAAGGTCTGAGGTAATAAATGGCTGGAAGGTGAGGCAGCAGGTGAGGCAGGCTGTGAGTATGTGCTGTGAGGAATACTTTGAACAGCAGAACTTTGAAAAAACACAGGGCTTTGCTATTTATTGCCTCTATATTTGCCACTTGCCTGCCTATCCTAATCTTTAGCCCCCTTGCCCCCTGATTTTATTAAGGAATATTGTCCCAATTTATGAACCATTAGAAAATGAGCCATAAACTCTCTATAAGGAGCAGACTGGATATTTCTGCACCAGAAAATTGTGCTTCTTTGACTATATCAGTGTATCTTAAGTAGTACAACTCCCCTAGGGTAAAGACAATTATACCAGTGTAAAAGTGCATATCCAAATATAGCTGAGTCCCGAATGAGAAGGAACCTTTGTACCAGTAATAACTAGGTCCACAGTAATGGACAGATTTATTACCTTACCTTTAGAAACCTGAGGTGACAAAGCTGGGAATTTAGCCATTTCATAATTCATATATATTCCTAGGAGGCAGATAAAACCTTCATAGGGAGAACTGGCCCACTTGAGGTCTTATTTACTGGCCAGTGGTGTCTGTTTCTCTTAACTTTTTAGAAAACTTCACTTAACTACAGACACTTACCTAAAGTTTCTTAATAAGGTAAAAGGAATTTGGTCACAAGATTTCTTCAAATGGATGAAGAAATTAAACTGTTAGGAATAGTGTAGGCTGATTTGAATGCATCAGTGCACAACTTTTAGCAAATCCCGACCCTGTTTTGCCATTTGGGGAAGTACAGGGAAATTTTTTTGGGTAATTTTAATAGGTCTTTTGAACTTGTGAAATAGATAAAGCAGAATTTTCTTTGTCTTGAGTAGCAATAACTCTGACAGATTTTTTATTTTCAAGATAAATAGGAGACTTAAAACACAAAAACCCCCTTGCCACAAAGGTGCTCTGCTGCTGGGCATTAAAACTAGGTTTTAAAGTTCTGGAGGGATGGTTGTAGGCATAGCTCTCTCAGGACTGCTGGAATGGAACTTTCCTGTTTTTTTGTCTGCAATTGCCAGTTACCAGAATTTCACATTGGAGAAGTTGACTGGAGCACAGGGCTCCACCTCCATCCTGCATTTGTCATGCACAATAGCAGTGACAAGCTCTGCCCTATTTGCCTCTTTTATCCAGGAAGTGATATGTGATCTGGATGAAGAAATGTTCTCTTCTTGTTTCTGAGCTTCCATTTTTCTCACTTGGTTTAATCCTGGGCAACAAATATCCATCTGAACTCTGCAAGAACAAAAAGCTCCACTGTTCATGCAGAAGTTTCTTCTAACTCTTCCAATCTAGGTGATTCTGCCCTATCAGGAAGAAATCCTGTATAATTAAAAAGATTTTTAAAGGAAGCAGGTTTATTTTAAAAGAAGAATTGTTTTCCACAGAGAGGAAGATCATAATACTGCTTGTGATATTTCCCTGCATAAGAAAAGCTGGCGAGATCTGCCTATTGAATCATGAACTCTCAAACCTCAGAATGGTACTTTTGGTTGTGTATTTCCAAAATAGCTGATAATGTCAAAAGAGAAACCTCACTTTTTGGGGTGTCTTTTTTTTCCCCCTGCAATACTTATTCCTTATTTTGCTCAAGCAGTAGAGGTGAAAAAGCCAAGATTCAGATATATGATCTAGTTTGATGTTTTGAGAAGAATGTTATTTAAAAATAAAATGCTGCTCTTTCTTTAACATTCGGTTCTGTAAACCTCTTCCATGTTGAGTAATAATTTATTCTGGAAATGACACCATTAAATTCACTGTCAGGAACTGTGGTAGATGCTGACCTTTAAATTTCTTCAGTCCAAGATGGATTATTCAGTTGTGTTTATATCAGCAGGGCACGAAAAGAGTCTTTTTCTGCAAATACCTACTAGCTATTTTTCACCCTAAAAAAGCAATCATGGAAACTGTGTCCAGATTTAATTCAAAGCACATTTCCAAATTCTATCAATCCATACTCCTGTGGCTTTTTTAATCCCAACACAATGTGTGACAGGGAGAATATCCATACATTCAGACATTATGAATTGAGCCATTATCAGATGAAGAATACAAATCCAATCAGCTCAACTCTCAACTTATGTCCCCTTTGGTTTTTTTATTCAAAGTTTCAAGTTCAGAAAGATAGGACAACTTCAACTTTTTTTTTTTTTTAATGGTTTGTTTTCTACTGTCCTGATAGCATATGGGAAAGAAACAGTCTTATTTTTTACCATTGTGCCAATTGTCTCCTAAGGATTTTGTAACACTACCTGCAAAAGAGCTCCGAAGATTGCAGGACAGGCATGAATAGCTTATCTAATGTAACTTCTGCCCAGAAATTTTACAGAACTGTAATTAATTATTAATGTGCTATAATAAAAATAATAGCTAGCTTATACATGGCTGTATTTGAAAATAAATATTGTAAAAGTCTGTTAAAGCATTCTGTAAAGCTGGTGCTCAGTACAAATATTATTTGTAAAGGAAAATGGAAAAAGATCCCCAAATACTTCCCAAATCAGTGTTATTACAGTTGCAGCTCAGTCTCAAGCAACCACAGGAGACAAGGCATCCAACTGCTAATGATGTGTATGCTACAGGAACAAACATTCCACATCTCTTTTAAAAACAATAGGTTGAATGAAAGTATCTTGCAAGCCAACTCTGCCGTATGTGTTTCTGTTTGATGTTCAGCTTCCTTGCAGTGATAGCTAATGTTATTTCCGTTGCAAATTAATCTGTGATGAGATCAGACATCTTTTAACATTTTTATTCTTGTTTACTTTCTCCTGTCACTTGAAAGGTTTATTCTATGGCAGGTGATTGAGCGTAACTGCACAGCAGTTTTGTAAGATCAGGCGCGTGAGAGAGAATCCATTATTCTATAGAGTCATGCAAAATGGTACAGTAGCTGCTGCTCTAGTGGACCTGGGTATGTAGTGCTGTCATCCAAAAGATTCAGCTGAGTATTTCTGCTACATTTTTTGGTTTACCTTTTATTAGTAGTTCATGTATCTCTGATGATTTGGGACTACATTCCTATTTTTCATTGAAATTCCTCACTCGTTTGGTTGTTTGGTTCTAGCTGATACTGTCAGATTTACAGCGTGCTATGTGTCCTTGTACATGTGTTTTCTAACAACAGGTGCATTGGACAGAAGGCCACAGTTTCACAGCTCACAGGCATGTCCAAAATAATAGAGCAGACTGTGAACTGTGAAGAGGCATATAGTGGTGGCAGCATATGGTCATGATTCAGTCATCTGAGGATTCTCTTAGTCTCCTTTAACGGAACAATTTTTGTTTTGTATTCTGTGCACATGGATGAATTCCTCCTTTCTCTTGCACATGTATTTGGGTCAGTGCATAGCACCACAATGGCCATGCCAGCCATAGTGTAAAGATGGGGTTTCTCAAAACTGAGAGCTGGCCATGTCAGCTGATGAAATTTCCTACTGCAGGCACATCTCTTGACATAGGTACTGTCATTAAGCTATCAGATTTGTAGTGGATATTTATTTCATTCTTAAAAAAATTATTTGAACAGAGAAAGGATGTATATTTGATTCGAGACAGCCTACTTTCTCAGGCCAGATAAAAGGAACTGTTATTTCTACCAGAGTAGCACAGTAGTAGAAATGGAAAGAAAACATGTGGTAGTTGAGGCACTGATTTGGCACACAAGATGTCCAAACAGTGTTTTCAATCTTAGTCTCACAGCCTTGGTGTGAGATCCCTCTAACCAATCAGCTATCCACTCTTCTGAGGCAGAAATCTGCTTTTTGTCAGAAAAGCAATCCTTTTTTCTGGTTGAGTTCAGAACAAGAAAGTACTGCAGAATCATAAACATTCTTAGTAGGTTTAGCATTATTCTGTCAAGTTAGTATTATTACTAGCTGTGATCTCTAGTAGAAAGTAGTGGAATTGAGCTGCTTTCAGTTTGTTCTACTCATCTTACAGCAAAGCAGTTGCATAGACAATTTGTCTGAGAGTTTCTGCCGACTTGTTTTCAAAAAGCCATGTCCCTAGATAAATGATGAACATGTATTTTTGCATTGTGTCATATCCTCTGTCTATTAAAAGGTGTACCTGCATTGTATCTAGATTATCTTTCAGGACATTTGAAAAATTAGCATACCCTTTCTATGATTTTCTTGTCAAAGTTATGATATGTAGCAGAGTAGCAGTTCACTCAGAAAATACAGTTCAGAATTTTGTTCTCCTGGTTCCTTCTGATCAAGAGACACTGTATCCCCTCTCAGATTCTATCGTGGTGCCTAGAGTTATCCATGGAAAGGAGATGGGTGAAGGATTTACTTCATTAAAATGCGATGCAATGCAGTTACTCTCTAGGCTGATGATTACAGTTGCAAATAGAGTTTTATTTTGAAGGATGCTGGTTGATTTTTTGCTCCATTCAGAAGGGAATTTTTGTTCTTGTCAGCGGAAGGAGGAGAAGGAGGCAAATACGTATTGAACATGAAAATGGAAGAGAGTCAAAGGCAGAAATGGAGAGGCAAGGATGCACATAACAGCTTTTGACTAAGGCAGATAAGCTGTGTTACAACTTCACCATATCGTTAAGAAATCATGGTTTCCTCATCACTTTCTTCCTTTTATTTTCTTCTTGAAAGATTGCTAACTGATGTTATATAAATGCTTTGTCACTATAGCTTGAGTACAAGCCAGGGCAAGCCATTACCTTGTCTTTGTATGTGGGTTGTTTTGAGCACACAAAGCCAAAAAGATCTTTGGCTTTTAAAGGACTCCTGTCTTACTTTCATTGATCCATCCTTCAAAGCTCATCTCTTGTGCCCGGTGCCCTGGTGTTTGACAAGGCTGATTTTTCTGATGATATATTCTGCTCCCATTTTAAAATTTATTCTTTAGCTCCACCTCCTGGCTCTTGGTCTGTGAAAAGGAGGATCCTTGGGAATCACAGAGCTTCAAGAGGGGATCAGAACTTTTCATCCTAGTCTACAAATATTAAGGTAGAGCTGTATATGGGGACATTTTAACTGAGGCAAAACAGGCTTTGCTGAGCCCACTCATACTGGCTTTCAACAGAGGCCAGAGCTAGCTGCAAATGTTTCAGAGGAGGGTGGACAATGGAGTACGTGGCTCACAGTTTGTGCTTTTTCTTGGGCTTTCAGTTTCTCAGTTGTGGCAGTTTTGAGACATGACCGACATCACAGAAGAGTCTCTCTTTATTACTGTTTTCCCCCTGGTACTTCCTCAAACTTGTGGGGGTGGGGAGGTACAGCAGAAATCGTCTGACACTGAAACATTAAAAAAAGATCTCTGAGGCCTTGCAAAGGAGTGTTGTTTCATGCAGGGAGAATTACTTTGACTTTGTGTTCATCCTATTAAACCAGGAACTGCTCAAGAAGTAGAGGAATAGATCTTAGTCATCTGGATTTAAGAAGAAACATGTCTCTTCCACGACAGCTGCGAGAAAAGAGGTAATGTGTTTCTCCCTGCTCCTGCCTCCCCACAAGCCTCATGTAACTCCTGTGATCTGTTTGGTTAATTGAGATATGAGCATCTTTGGTGATTCTAAAGGGCTTCTTGTTATCATAACTTCCACGCTATTAGGCTGCTTAGGGTTATAGAGCAGACCATTTCTTATGCTGGAGTGGACTTTCTCTTTTTGTGGGGAGTATCACCACCTAGGACATAGTGGGTCATCGTCCTCTTTATAACTGCAAAACAGTTTCCCTTTTACTGGAGTTTATGATATGAGTGTTTGTGATATGACTAATTATATATCCTGGTCTCCATAACCACATCCCTCTTCACAGTAAGGGGTAGTATTTAAAGTATTGTGGGTGGTGCTGATTCATGGCATTCTCCTCAGACACCAAACTATTGCAAGATGTTGCATCATTACTTCAGAATTTCAAATGGACTACGCCCTGTGGAAGCCCCTGCTTGGGATATTCTTCTAGAAGAATAAACTAAGACAACAACCACTGGTTTTTTTTTTTTGCATTATCAGAATATTTAACATTTTCTCAGCTTGGCATTTCTTAGATGACCCTTTTAAAATCCCTTCTATATCTCATTTGTTATCCTTTCTTCCTCATTCTAAATGCTTTTTACTCAGGTCTTAATATAAATATCCCTCTAACAACACTGAGTTAAAAGACTGAAGCAAAGGTGAATTTATCTGCTGCTTGTCAAAGCTGTTGCACCAAGGGGAAGGTCATAGAGGAAGAAGCACCTGCCAATCCATGCTTTTTTGTTGTGTGGACAGTACAGACCAGTAACATGACTTTGTGGTCATATGGCTGCTCGTTAGGTGTTCCTGCAGTGATCCTTCCTTCTTACTTCCAATCCAATCCTTTCTAGGATTTGCAAAGCTCATTCCAACCTTGCCTAATTCCAAGTGTTCCTTCACACATTTTTGACATTTTCAAATAAGTATCTTTGTGCTTGCTTCAGGTTATCTGCTGTGATGAGGCTATAAATACCAAGGTTGTAGGTTTGATCCATTTGTGGGCCATTCATTTAAGAATTGGACTGGATGATCTTTGTGGGCCCCTTCCAACTCCAAATATTCTGTGGTTCTCTGATGAATCTTACCTGCTGTGACTGGGAGGTGTCTCTCCAAATATTTGATAGCCTACTCTTTTTTTCCCAAGCCTCTTTTAAGAATTTGCTTTATTGTGATATTTACAAGAAAACTTGACATTTTGACAGCTGGTGTAGGCATCACTAGTTTTGATACAGAGTTTTTGTTTCTTTGTTCTTTTTCTGTTTGTGTTTATTTAGTTGTTTCTTTTCTTATATGTATGTGGTACATTTTACACATCTTGCACAGGGTATAAAGTTTTTAGGATTTAGCTTTGTGCTGTCAGTTTCTACAGCACCTTGCATAACAAGCTGTTTTCTCAGAACTGTTTCTTATTCCCTACAGTAATGCAGTAATAATAGCAGCATAAATCATGATATATAATGATCTCCTTAGAATGAGATCGACTGATGCAGAGTTCTTATTGTAAATCTCCTAGATCAAGGAAGGATTAAGAATGCATCCACAGCTGATCACATTTCTCAGGAAAAGCTTAGCAGTTCAAGTGTTTGTTTTGTAGTCCTGCTTCTCAAGGAAGAATAGGAATGAGAGGGGTATTGGCCACTGACTTGTGCTAAACTTATTGAAACTTGACATCTCAAGATCAGACCTCCAGAGGAAGAGAATGACACCATGAGTTTCTAATCTCTTCATTTTGATATTATAAAATATGATATTGTCTATCTTTGTTCTGTGTGGCATAGGATACCTCAAAGGCTATTACCAGTATGAGTAACCTAAATCTTCTGTTCTTGCTTCACAGTGATTTTGACCAGCTTCCAGATGATGTACCTGTTTCAGCTAATATTGCAGATATTGAAGAGAAGAAAGGCTTTACTAATTACTATGTAAGAAGGGAGATTTATCCTGCCTCTATATGCCTTCACCTGTGACTGGTTTGGTTGTGGGAAGCAAAATGTGGTTAATCTGGTGTAATTGCTTTTTGGCATGGGTAGTTCCATGTGGAAGACTTAGTGCTTTATTTTTCTGTAATGGAGTATAGTTATCCCAGATTCAGTCTAAAAACTTATTTTCTGAATGAAATGTGGGAGATATCCTCTAACATCATAATTCTTTCCTAATATCTGGTTTGTTTCCTGTTGGAGTCCTGTACCATTGGTGAAGTTAGTGGAAAAGTAATTCAGAGGGTAGAAAGGCAGATTCTTGTTTCATTTTTCCATGGTACTGGCAAGTTAGGATGCTCCCATCTTCACAGGAGGTAATATATTAAGACACAAAAGAGCACACAGGAAGGGGATATTAGGGAAAGGCATTAACATTTTCTGAAGGTTTGAGTATGACCAGCTCAGTCTGACTTCTGCTGGAGACACTGCTCGTAAAAACACTCCCACTGCAGAATTCAGGTTTTACACTGGAATAGAGTGATGTTTCATTGCTTTCTTTATGTTTGTGGAAGGATCTGGCTGCAATGTGACTTAGAGGTCAGTGCATGGAAATGTGGGGCTCCTTTAGAAGTTCTCTTATTGTTAAATATTTGTATTTGTCTCCCTAAAGTATTTTTTTTTTGTCACTGAAGAAAAGTGTGCAAGCACAAAGTTGAATGTAGTAATTTCATGTTTCCTTTTAAGATTATATAATATAAAGCAGCCACAGGGACAGGCTTCATATGCAAGCTGGACCCACACAAATACCACACTGGTGCTACCCTGTTATTTCCTAGTTCCTGAATTTGCAGATGCTTCACTGAAGGCTTGCTTTCCTCTCTGCTCCTAAGAGAATATTCCCACTAATGGAGCACTGATCTTATGTTCCTATTTTATTCCTCACATTCATCTGGTGAGTATTTATAGGTATGAACATCAGCCTGGATCCCTCTTCTCTGTTTCAGATGTTTGTCATTGAAGTAAAGCTTAAAGGTGGTGGCAGATATCTGATTTTCCGTCGTTATCGTGAGTTCTATGCCCTGCACACCAAACTAGAGGAGAGATATGGTCCAGAGAGCAGTAACAGCCCATTTACCTGCACACTGCCTGTTCTGCCAGGTAAGCTGTCAGTACCAAATCTTTGCATAATTAGCAGCTTTCTCAGCTCCAGGCTGTCCTAAAGAGGAATGCAGTGAGAGAAGTAGTTGTGACAAGGAGCTAATTCCTGGCTATGGATGCCAGAGAAGTCATGTTCCATTGACAGTCCCTTCATTTGTGGTAAAGTTCATTTAGAAACCTTAAATCCTCTAGAAAATATGTAGGTTTTTTTGAGCTTCTACTTCTTGATTCCTTTCTCTGACAGCCTACTTTCTTTTTCCTTTTGTTTTTTTCTTCTTTTTACTTTTTTTTTTTTTTGTCCCTTCAATAACTGTCACAGGTTTTATATTTTCCAGGAAAAGTTTTTGTTGGTGCCAAAAAGGAAATTGCTGAGAACAGGATTCCTATCCTAAATGTCTACATGAAGGTAAAACTTAATTTTAAAGTAAAGAATGCACTGATCATTTCAGATACTCAGCCATTGAAGTCAGTTCTGTTAGAGTTCTAAGTATCTGCTTCTCTCTGTCCTGCTTTCCTGAAGGCACAGTGCCCACACTGTGGTAAAATCTGGAGTCCCCTTCCCCAGATTGTTCAGACTGTAGGATCTGCTGGCATATGCAGTTCACAAAGGCTCGCTCTCTGCCTTCACATAGAGATAGATATCCTTACCAAAACCCCCAAGATGTATGAGGAAATGGTGAATCTCCAGGTTTTTCATGAATACAGAGTTGGAGTGTGCATCCAAGGGATTAGGAGTGGGTGTGTGGCTTGTGCTTTAACCCCACCCACCATCTAAGTGAGCCTCTTGCTCACTCCCTCCCAATTAGGAAATGGTAAAACCCATGCATTGAGATAAGAACAGATTAATAATTGAAATAAAGTAAAATGCAATACTAATAAATAATTGTAATTGGAAGGGAGGTAATCAAAAAGAGAGAAATAAAAATATAGAAGAACAAAACCAAATGATGCGCAATACGATTGCTCGCCACCGGCTGACCGATGCCCAGCCAGTCCACTGAGCAGTGATGAGTAGCTCCTGGGCAACTCCCTGCAGTTACAGACTGGGCATGATGTCCTATGGCATGGAATATCCCTTTGGCTAGTTTAGACCAGCTGCCCTGGCCATGCTCCCTCCTGACTTCCTGTGCAGCTCCTCACTGGCAGGACTTGGGAAACAAAAAAGTCCTTGGCTTAGGCTAAGTAAGCCACCAGTTAGAGACAACTAAAACATCTGTGTGTTACCAACATTATTCTCATGCTAAATCCAACACACTGTACCAGCTACTAAGAAGAAAGCTGACTCACAGCCCCAGTCAGGACAGGTAGGTTTCTTAGAGTACCTGAATTACAGTGAAGATGCAGCATACACCAAGGAGAGATATTCTTTGAGTGCAGGTTAACTGAAGACATGAACTTCAAATCAGTAAAAGTCTGAAGCACTGGCTGAGACTTCCACTACTTAAGATTGCCTTCTTTCCACAGTCACTCATGTTCTGAAGAAAAAGACAAAAAGCAATTTACTCCTGCAGTGAATCAGGTACAAAAAGAGGGAAGGAATACATTGGCCAACTCAAGGAGTAAAGAGGAGAGACTGTCAGCTGTTCAGCTGTGTCCTGCTGAGTGAGAAGGGAGAGGAGGGAGATTTCTGGCAGTAATGAATATCCTTCATGATCCTGTAGGTCAGAGAGGCATATTTGTTACATGTAAATAAATAGAGAATTGGTCTCTCCCACTGTTACACTCTGCTTCCTGCTTGCTCTTGGCACAGAACCTGCTCTGCCTCCCTGCTTGGGTGTTGATGGATGAGGACGTTCGGCTCTTCTTCTATCACTCAGCCTTTGATGGTGAGCAGGTGCCTCACAGACTGAGGCGGCTTCGCCCACGGACACGCCGAGTGTAAGTGATTGACATGTTTTTTTCAGTGTTGTTTGATGTAAGAGATGTCCAGTTTTGGGGGTGGGGAGGAGAGGGATGAGGATCACCACTGTGTTTTCCAAGTGAATCCATGAATCCCTAATTATGAGGGTTTTTGTGGTGGAGTCAACACAGAGTGTTTCTTATTCTCAGTAATCTCAAATTTCTAAAGTGGATGTTTAACTTGCATTAAAGGAAAATTCCTAAATGAGAGTATACCTTGATTTTTAAAAATAAATAATAAAAATAAATAAATAATAAAATAAATAAAAAATAAAATAATAAAAATCTGCCTATATTTCTTTAAAGATACTCTCTATAATAACGTACAGAATATACAGGCCAAGCTTAAGGACGTAGGCTTGCACCACTGAAGTCAATGTGAGTTTTGGCACTGAATTCAGTGAGAACTGGTTCAGACACTAAATGAAACTGAATGCTTAATTTGTTCCTGTCCTTTGCCTAAACAGGGGTCTGTCCTCCATAGCAGCACTGACACCCCTTTGGAGATCTGCTAAGTAGGTGTCATACTTCATTACCCTTCAGATAAATTAATTCTTTCAGCATGCCAAAGATGGACTCACTTCCTTTTCACCTACCTCAAACAGTGCAAAAGCTGCATGTGTATATGATGGCAGAGTTTGTACTAAATGCTGTAAAAGCTAGAAACAATGATGCCCAGAAGACAGAGTAGGGGGACTGAGCAGTGCTGTGGAAAAGAGGTCCAGAATACTGACTGCATTGAGAATTCCATCTGTTCTCAGCAGCAGACACCATCAGATTGCTGCTGCTCTGCACTGAAACTGAGAGAACTAGGGCAGTGTTGTTGCATCCATATTTATTTACTTCACTGCTGCACACAGATTCTCATGCAGTTTCTCTGGTGATCTATGGCGTACATGCCCCTTAAACAGTAAAAACACAGACACTGCACTACTGACTGTGTAGCATTTTTAATGACTTAGAAGGTTGTTTACCTCCCTGTTGTCTCATTTCTTTGCAGTAAGAGCATTTCAGATCAAGTGCCTATTTTTGACCGCACCGCAGCTCCACGGGCTGAGGTGAGTACTCTGCACAACCTGTCATAGGACAGGAGATTAAACTGTTTTACTCTGGTACCTCATCCATCAAGTTACCTTTTTCAATTAGAGCTTGGGGGAAGAAAGTGAAATCAACAGAGAAGAACAATTGATTTTAACAACAGGGAATGAAACAAAGGATAGAAAGTTCTGTTCCTTATCACTTGAGTAATAAGAAGGTCCATGGTGAAATCAGAATGACAGGAGATTCGAAAACTGAGACATGTACAGCTTACTGCCAAATTTAATGTCCACATTTGCATAGTGCTACCCATAAGTTAAATCTAAAACAGGCATAAGCCTCAGCTTCATTGACTTCATCATATGCTTAAAAGCTTTGCAGGCATCTTGGTATTTTTCTGTAACATAAATGTTCTGCTGAAAAATGCCCATGCTCTTGGTCTTTTGTGGCATATTTTCTCAGTATTAAGCACGTGAGACTACTTCGTAACCAGTATCTGTCTGAGCAGGGTCTTGCTTCCTGAAACATGTGACTTTGCCATATAAGATTAAAAAACCCCATACATCTGCTTTGAGGTTTGTTGGTTTAGTTTTTTACACAGAGAATGACAGGTCTTGGAACAGTCATATCTCTTGGGTTTTCTCTATTAATTTATTTGTACTGAATATACCTACCAGAACTTTTCAAAAAGTGAAAAAAGGCTTTTGAAAGAGCTGCTAAGCAGACATATGAACCACTAGCACAACATTTTTCTATTTTTTATTTTATTATTTGCCTTTTTTAAAATTATTATTAAGAGAACTCTTGGCATTAACAAGACCAAAAGAACCATTGCAATGCAGAATAAAGAAGTTATTTTCATTTTTTCTCCACTAAGATCATTTAAATGGCTGCCACGTTCTCAAATGAGGGAGATGTGCATTTTTGACAACTCAGCCATTTTAGCTATCCAACCTTTTGCTAGGGTGGTAGCATGTATTTGCCTCTTGTTTTTTTGTTTTTTTTTTTTTTTTTTCCCTGAAGAGGGCATCTAAGTTCCATTTTAACAGCACGTCAATTTCCCAGGCTTTTCCAAATCTCCCAGTTCAGCATACAGACCTGAAAGCTAGATGTTAAAGCAACAGTTAGTTAAGACACAACAGTTCTGAAATTTTTCAAGCCTCTTTGTGATATTTTGCAGCGAATCTAAAAGCTGTAAAGCTGCAATGAGAAATAATATATTATTTCAATTCTCAGGATTTCAAGGTGTCAGCTGGCTTCAGCTCTGTTGTCTTAATTGCTCTTAAGTGCTTTCAGCTTATGTATATTAATTTCTCTGGTGCTCAGTGTTCTGCCACTTTAAGAATCCTTATATGTAGCTCTCTCAGGGCCATGTTTATCCTAGTGCTTTCACTGCTTTTTCAAAGCAGTTTTGTGTGAGCTGAGCACGAGAAGAGGTTATAAGAACTGCAGACTACGGTCAAATACATCTGACCTTATCCCAGAAATACATATGTGGTGATAAAGTGCACACTGCCTTGCTGCTTTATGCTTTCTCCTCAAGAAAACAGCAGAAAGATTTGCTTTCGTAATTCTGTGAATCAATAATTTTGAGGTTATTACTTTCCACAGGCACTGTTTGATTTTCCTGGAACCAATAAACTGGAACTCAGCTTCAAGAAGGGAGATTTGATCTATCTACTCAGCAAAGTAAACAAAGACTGGTTAGAGGTAAGACAGCAATAGTGGTACTGAATGATTAGCATACCTTGAAATATATGAGTAGAAAGGGCTCTCCTGGTCCTGTGACCTGCCTCTTCCTTTCAAGGAGAAACTGTATCATAATCAGGTCTTACTGTCAAGAGTAAGTCCTTGATTCCAAATTAGTAATTGTTTGGTTACTTGATGGTTTTTAGCTTACAAATTTTCTGCCCTCCAGACTTCAGTTTTCATTTGCATTTGCTTCTGCTGGAATGTTTTTAAATTCTTTGGAAGTGACTAGAACACAGAAAGGCCACAGAAAGGAGATGGAAACTCCATTTCAGTGATTAATTGTTCTCTTGCCTCAGGGTGAGTTGATGTATGCTTCATGCTTCATACCACAACACACGTCAGCCTGATTAGAGAGAACTTGGGTAATGCAGCAGTGTTCTGAAAAAGGATGAGGGGAACATACTGTGTGTTTGCTGATATGATATCTCTGCTTGCTCAAACACCACAGCTTTCCTTGCTAACCATCTGACTTTAATTTTTTACACACTGTTTCACTCCCCTGCCTAGTATTTGACTATGTAATTGTATAATCTTTGAAGGGATGCCACCAGGTCACTTCCATAGAATTTCTTTTCTTAATTATAGTGGAAAAATTCTTACTGTTGTTTCTGTGTAGATTAATTGAATTCCAGAACCTATTGCATGTGGCCAAAATGGCATGGTTTTCTTGATTCTAACATTTCCTACAATTCCAGGGAACTGCTGATGGTGCCACTGGGATTTTCCCATCTGCTTTTGTGAAGATCATAAAAGATTTACCGCAGAAGGAAGAAACCATTAATAAAGTTCGCTGTTATTACTATGATGAAACTGTGAGCACTGTCAGGTAGTAATGAAATAGTCTTCCAGTTTATAGCTGAAGAAACACCAACAATTCTCTTGTCATGATAGGTAATGATTGGATGTATTCTAAATGCAGGGATATCTCAGTGGATGAGGATCTGAGCAGCATTCCATCATTCAAAGATCTAATGGCATTGATAAGGTACAATGCAAGCACTTGATTATATATTTGATGCTTAAACATTTGTTAAGGTCATTCTGGTTTGAGATTTTCCACATTATACTTGGTCATCACTATGTTTTGTGTATGAAGTACTTTTCAAGTGTCTTGAAGAAGTTGCACTTTGACTTGGCCCAGGGCCATCTGTGCAGATACTAGTTCTTCTTGGGATTGTCAATGAGTAAGGAATGATGCACACTTCTGACTCAGTTGTGATGGGTAGAAATTTCCATTTCTTGAATTAAGAGCCATACTCCTATAAAAGCATCTTTTGTCTAGGACATTACTTCAGGATGTAGGACACGGCCTTCTAATACTTGTTAAACTAGTGTTAAACTAGATTAATCTGGTGTTGAACATCAACAATTTGGAACATTAAATATTTGTAAATATTGGTAAGAGAGCACCTGTTCTAATATTCTTACACTCTTCAGGAAGAGGAAAAACAAGTAGGCAAAAGTGGGTAGTAACAGCCATCAGCTCTTTTGCATGGTAATTCTATCAAACACACAGTTGAATTGTGCCATTTATGTGATGTTACTGGAAATGGTTCTTGGTTCTGATAGATTTCTTAGCTTAAACACAACACAACATGAATATGGCTATGTGATTTCTAGTTCTAGCTGTACCAAGAAAGCCAAGACACCCAAGGCTTTGTGTGGCTTTTATCAAAATTAATTAGATTGTCAGTATGTTGTTCATCATGTAGCACCTCCCAGGCATTCCTTGATTTCTGGGGATCAATCCATTTCTTTTCTCCCAGGCAGGAGTTTAACCAAGATGACATTGTTTTGAATTACCGGGACCCCGATGGTGATCTGATCCGCTTGCTCTCTGATCAGGATGTTGAACTCATGGTGTCTCAGAGCAGAAGAAGTCCCTCTGAGAAGCACTTTTTCCCTTGGAAGTTGCACATCACTCACAAAGATGACTTGGGTGTCTACAACACTAACCCAGGAACAGGTGCTACTCAAACAGTAGGAGCAGTATAAGTGCTATATAGATATCTCTCTCTGCAGGCAATTTCCTTCAACACGTCTTTGAAGTGTCCTTGAAATGAGTAATTTTTAGTAATATATTGCCTTTCAGTGTAAAATCTGTACTTAGTTAACTTCTTCAGCTTTTTAGCACTCATCTGCAGTAGAGACATCTTACATAGAGACCAGAGAAAATGAGGAATAGAGAAATAAAATCACGGGCCATGTTCACAAAGTTAGTCTGCAATAGAGGTCTCCTGAGCCCCTAGACCTGCTCTAGTCTCTGTTCTCACTCCCAAGGCTAATCATTTGTCCAGAATGTATTCATAAACTTTTTTTTTTCTGGACTCCCATAAATTTCATTTGCTTATCTGAAGGTTTGTGTGCCACTGTGTAATTATTTATCTCATGTTGGAGTCTGACTGGATGTTCAGAATTTGTCCTAGGAGCATCAAGAAAATTTTTTTAGATTTCAGTGAAGAAATTGCAGGTCATCTTAGCTTTCTTCTTTTCCACTGACCAGTATATTGATTTCTGTGAATCAAACCTAGTACCCCTGTGGTGTTTTGTATAGACCTTTATATAATTGTACAGTCTACTTATTTTCATGTTCTGGGAAAATGTGTAGGATGTCTAGTCAAACAGCAATTTCTTCTCTATCTTCTGCTTTGTGACACTGCAATTCAAAGTATAACTAACAAGAAATTACTGTATCAGATTCTTCAATAAATAAAGTTCATAAATTTTTATTTAAAAGTGTTTTTTTGGGGGGTGTGGGGAGTTGTTGACATTATTTTACTGAAATAATACAAAATGTAACTTCCTGCTTCAGAGGCATTGTAGCAATGCAGTTTAGAAAGGAGATGAAGTAATAGCAATGATTGTGCCAATGATATTACATGTTGTGATCCATAAGAAAATGCACTGTTAAGTTGGAAACCTGACAGCATGTATGGTCTGCAAAGGTTCTGGTGTGCAAGATTCCCTGTTACTTGTTCCTGGAGTTCAACAGAGCAAGTGGCACTCAGAGATTTTACAGCTAGATCCTGTGATGTAACTAGCAGCTCAGCATGTCTCTCAAAATGGAGGAACAATTTCAATGAGAAAGGAAAAGGAGGGAAAATGTCTGCTGGGAAACTGGGAAACCACTGTCCTCTTTTATAAGGGTGCTGAAAGAACATAAACACACTGGCCTTTGAAAATTGGAGCAGGATGGTCCCCCTCTGCCTTTAAACTACAATGCAAAATAAATTCTTCCCATCTAGCCAAGTTACCTCTTCCCCTAACTGTCTGCAGGTTTTATATGGACACTTTCTGATACACAGTTTCCCCAGAAATTCTCCATATTCTTTGTCTTGCTTTGCATGTTTCCCTTGTTTCCCTTATGCACGATACTTCTCTTTTTTTTATTTTCTTTTCTTTTTTTTTTTTTCCCTTTGTTTATTGATGCAGTTCTGATGAGAGAATAACTGTGCCAACTGTGCCAACTGGTCAGTACCATGGGGATTGAGAGGAGGAGTAGCAGTGCAGGACAGACAGACTGACTCTGTCAGTTATATTCTGTATCTGGGGACTCATCTGAGCCCCCACAGCTTATCCCTGAGAACACAAACCTGAACATGTCTCTCCCTTATGGCTGCCTAACTTTTCTAAGTTGTTTTTTTTTTTTATGGTTGGATTAAAAGACCAGGCTGCCTTGGATGTAGGTTAACTTCAGATCAACTACTCTCACCAGTTTTCTTTTGTTTCCTCTATGTATTATAGTACTTATAATTTATTATTAATTGTTCTTGAAATCGGTAAAACTTAGAAATATTATTCAAAATAAAGAGTGACAGAGATAAAGGTAGTTCACTCTCCTCCAGTATAGATGCACAAACGAAAGCCCAGAGGGACCCCTGCCATGAAGATTGTCTAGTCTAGAGTAAAGCAAGAAACAGCAGAGGAGTGAAAACCATAAAATTCTTCATCTTTCTTACTTCTGCTGCAGTCAGTCCAGTCAATCCTTTGTCTTTCTTAAAATATTTAAGTCTCATGATCTGGTAATTGCTAACACACAGATTGGCAATGACAAACTTCCTTTCCCTCCCTTCCCAGTTAACTTAGCAGTCTCATCTAAGTGCATACTTTGGGGGCTAAGATAGAAAGTACAGACTTCCTATTTTGTGTAATTGCACAGAATTTCCTTGAAAGGGGGGGTGTCAGCTTCTCTGAAAGTGACATTTGAGGTTCACAAAAGATATAGCAGTTATTTGGAAGACTTACTTGTCAAGAAGTTTATATTTCTGTCTCCAGTTCTAGGCAAGTGTGGGTTTGCTGATTTCTGCATCAGAGGATTCTGGTGTGGGGTGGGGAGGAGGCTGGAGAGGGAGAGTCACCCATCATCTGCTTCACAGACACCCCTGGATCCAGGTAAAGGAATGGCTTCCTTTCTGGGGGAAGCATAATGGCAGAGTCTGCTCCCATGCAAGGACTTGTGAGTTACTGAGGGATTCATTAGCTGCAATGATTATTCAAGGGCTCAGCCAGTTGTTTCTGATTCAAGGAAGTGGCATTTGGGAATCTAAAAGTCAATAGGAATTTAAAAGGAGTTTTTCCATGCTCCCCTAAAGTAGAAAAGTCTCAGATCTGTAATGTACTTCAGCAGGTGTGTCTATTATGATTCTGAAAGAGCAATGAAAGGTGGCCAGAAGGACTTAAATTCCAGTATTGAACAGTGTGGTCCATGGTCCTGGAACTGCTCAACCTACTTTTCAGTGTCTACAATCATGAGAAAAAAAAAAAAAAAGGAAATAATTTTAGTTTCTTTGGCACTGTGTCTACAATTTGTAACTTGTTAGGAGAGCACCTAGAAAAGTAGTATGTTGAAGGAAATTCTCAAAGTGAATGAATATGGAAATTCAACCACTGTCGGTCCTAGGAACTGTGTGGTTGAGATCATATTTTTAAGGAAATTAACTACTGTTGTGGTTCATTAGGAAGGCTTTAAGCATAAAGAGCAGAAGAATTAAATTAATTTTAAGGATAAGTTCTCATCAAAAATTAGGATGTTTTTCTTGTTGCTTCTCAGCTGACTGAATCCCTGCACCTCCTGGGAAATGTACATTTACTTCATTTTTTGCTTGTGTTGCAACAGCACACGAAGATGTGGCTTTTGTCCTACAAGAAATGCTTGGTAGAAGTTCTTCCTGAATGTCACTTCAACGTGATCTTAAAGAAGTTCCCTTATTCAGTTTTACTTCTCTTTATGTGAAACGAAAACAAACAGCTTCACAGTAAGCAGGGCAAGAGAGTAGCTAGTGGGCAATGAAAACTCTGAAATTCTGAGTTAGGATCAAGCCTGTGTGCCAAGGACAATATGAACATGAAAGAGATTTTCATCCTGCTGCTGGATTTCTATTTGGTCTTCCGTGTTCAAACCATTCAAGGTGAGATTCAGATTTATATTCTCTTTTATCCTTTCATTATTGCCTTTCTTTCCAAATCTGTCTCATTCTTTCAGCTAATGCTCTTCCTCCTTTTCTGCTTGCTTTTCTTGTTCCTTCTCATGTTTTCTAAGCTGTAAGAGAACAGACATCCTGATCAAAACCAGCATGTAGCAGGTGCACATGCAGCCAAATCAGTTGTACGTTGATGGTATGGACAGGTGAAATACTGTAAAAATGGATGAGATGCACAAGCTGATTGGATAATGAGTGAATGGAAGGAGGGATAGACCCTGATAATTAGTGAAAACATAGGAAAATGAAGGGCTGCATAATTCAGATGATAGTGCACAGGAGTAGAGACATGTGGCTAGACACAAGACAGTGTTGTGGGGGCTACCAAGAGCAAAATCCAGATGACCTGGTTTTCTTCTTGTGGAATAGCTGACAGATAAAGAGACCATCTGCCATATCCTTTGCTTGTGTTTCCTTTTTTACACGATAAAAGCTTTCCCCTTCCCTTCCCTTCCCTTCCCTTCCCTTCCCTTCCCTTCCCTTCCCTTCCAAACATTTCTATGAGTCTATGATTTTCTGGTGCCAAGAGGAGAGTACTGACAATAGTTTATCAGTGCCTTACCCATTCTCTACCTCCTGCTATTTCTCACCATTTATATTTTTAGTCACTGCATCTTTTTTTTTGCCTGAATTCCTTTCCCAGAGAGTATCCCAATGAAAAGCTTGAAGTGCTACAATGACTACAACTCACAGGTGACTTGCACATGGATGGAGCATTCAGAGGCTCATGACCTCGTTGGTATGATCCTTTACCAAAGGGATAATGTTAACATGTAAGTACCTGAAATGTGCTGAGCTAGATAGAAGTCCAAAGGTGTATTGGCCATAACTTGGAATCCTGGGGACAAGCAGTCAAGTTTTTAGAAAGCACAGCCACCTCTCTTTTTCAATTAAGCAAAAAAGTTTTGCTTGCTTCTGAGGCCTCTAGGAAAAGAGGAATGAATAGGCTATGCCAGTGGAGTTGTTTTTACCACCTTTACAATTATTTTCCATAATTTTGTTGTAGGATCGTAGATAGGAAATAAGAAAGGAAGGTTGCTAATTATCAGTGTTGGGGAGAAGGAAGTGTGAGTGTTGTTTGTAAACCCTCAAGGGAGGAGACATTCCTCCTGTCATTTTTCTCATTTGGGAGCATCACTGAGACTGTGGTTTTGATAGCTTTTGAGAAATATGTGTAGACTGTGTATTTATGAGATAGAGAGGACTGGTAAGTTGTCTATCTGTGCCATCAGTTTTCCTCCCAGAGATACTGGTGTGTTTATGACAGTATCTCTCTGTTACACTTGTTTCCTTTTCAAAAGGGAACCAAATCACCAGATGGTTGGTGAGGACAAGAAAGAACAGAAATGGAGCAATAGTTAAGGGAGAGTGGAAGGATGGATAGTTGAGAAGAAAATTATTTAGAGTCTGGGGATACAGGAAGAAAAAGAGAGAGGAAGAACTCTTGATTTTATTGCAAACAAGAGGGAATTAATAGACCTAAGAGCAGATGAAAACAATGGAAGAACTTTGGAGCATGACCTTAAAGTTAAATACTTCTGGGAAAAGATGATATAAAGCTCCTTGGACTTTTGGAGCATTCTCTGAAGCATTGTTGCATGATGAAGTGCGTGGCTCTTGAGACAACTGAGGTGAACTGCCCAGACAAGCAGGTATTAAACACGGACAGTCACACAGCTGAAATCAAAATGGCCAACAATTAAACAGGATCAGCTCACAAACAAAGAAGAGTTGACTAAACCCCAAACTGTAAGATAATGCTGGTAAGCAGATAGAAATAGCTTCAGGACTTCACACCCCTTGGGCTGACACTTTTGCTTAAGGCTACACACATACTGCAGTGTCCAACCCATACTTCATCAATATCCCTGGTTTCCTTGCTAATACCCAACTTACAAAAATAGCAATAGTGCTGAATAATGCTTGCTGACATATAGTTGGCTAGAAGACTCCATCCTATCCTGGAAGAGAGTATTTGGCCTTAAATATTCACAACTTAATATTTCTCATCTGAGCTGGAACAAGATAATATACTGGGCATGAAGCCATAAGCACAAACAAAATTCCACAGGGTACATAAAGAAGCAACGGATCTCTCCAGCAGCTAAGGCTACTGCAACCACACAAAGATTATCCTCTCCTGCCCAGTTTAAAAAATTGTTTCTAATTTTCATGATGCTCCTTGGCCTGGAGAAAGGCCATCTGAAAGGATGATTAACATTGTAGATGAAATCTTTAATGAATACTTAAGGTCCCTTGGCACAACAGAACAACTAAGGATACCGAAGTACATTTTGGTTGAGAATCTTTTTCTAAGTGTTTTTATGGTACTGCAAAATAAAAGTCTTCAAGCAGCTTAGGATCATCAGAAATTTTACGGCCCTTAACTCTCAGTAAAAGGGGTATTTATTTACATGACATTCATTTTCATCATACTATTTCTTGCCTAAAAATATGAGATTACATAGAGCTAGGCTAAAAAGTAACAAAAATTAACTGGTACTGTAACATTCTTCTGCATGACTTTGAAATGGGGATGCAAAATTCTGGTGTCAAAAATGTTTCTCATATTAACTGATACAAAGCAGGCCTAATAGGAACAGTGAGAAGAGGATATAAGTGCCTTTGTGAATTATAACAACAGGATGAGATGAAATTGGTTTCAGGTGTTTAATTTTGCACTAACTACAGGTCTTCAGATCTTTATAGATTACTTTCTCTGTACATAGGGAGAACAAGGACATGTTTTGCAAACGCCAGACAGAAAATGACTTACGTGAAACTTCAGATGTGTACGTGCACTGGGTCTGCCACAACACTACAGACTATTTTGGAATAGGGGTAGATGATATTTATGGCTTCAGACCTAAAAAGGTGCTTCAAACGGAAGTGGATGTTGATCTTTTCCAAAATGGTAAGGCTTAAATACCATATTCTGATTTCCCAATGAATTTTAAGGATTTTTGAGAATGTATTTGCCATTCACCTGGAAGTGAATTCCATTTCCATTGTGCAAACTGACAAAGAGTTCCACATTGAGAAGGGTGGGCAGGGAGAGGAGAAGGCAAGTTTCTGAGAGCAGCTGGATCTGGTATCATCTCAGGGGCTATCAAGCAGGAGGTACTTGTTCTGTCAGGGATAAGATTCTCTGGAAATGGGGAAGCTTACCTAGATGTTTTCTTCCCCTCTTTGTGTCTTTTCCTCATTATCTCCTCTCATGCATTTTACCTTCACCTTCCAGTTCAGCCCCTCCCACCTCAAAACCTCTCAGTGACCTCAATGACATCAGGAGATTTCCTGCTGACCTGGGAAACAGCCGATGGAAGCCCAGGGTTGGGCAATGCACTGGACTATGAGGTCACTTACAAGCGCGAGTGGGAGTCCTGGGAGGTAAGAGCGGAGGAGCTGAGCTGTCCTCATTCAGGTTGCACTATTCTGGGCAGTTGAAAGCCTGAGGTAAAAGCTGTGTGAATTAATGGTCTTTCCATTCTCAGGGACTATGAAGAGATACAGTAAGTGTTGTTTTGGGTCAGGTGGAAGGGTCTCTCTTTCTGTTAGCAGGTGACTCGTCCAGTGAAATACCATTTTTCCTGAACTGTAATTCTGAACTAAATGCAAAGATCTCCACTCAAAGAAACCCCCAACCACTGTACTTGGATTTGAATTGGAGTTAAACTGAATTAAATCACATTCCAACATGAAGCTGTGGGTTCATGTGGGAAAAAACAGCAAAATACATTTGAAGTTGTTCCTCCTTTGAGACAGATATGTTTTGGGTTTTTCTTTTCTTTTTTTAAAAAAAGGTTTTAGGAGTCCACATCCTTTGTCCTATAATTTCCCTAGATCTGCATATATTTTTATTCTGTACCTGTCAGCCTGATCTTTAGATTTTAAGGGAATTTTCTTGGCCAGATTCCCACATAATTCTGCGTTGAGCAGTGCTATGAACATGTGTAGCTGAAGCTGAAGACAGTCTGAACTTTGCAAGCTGCAGATTGTGCCTGACAGCGGCCATGCCTCGCCCTTCCTGAGTTGTGCTGCAGCGCACACGGGAGCCCCTCTCGTGTGGCAGTGAGGAAGCACCGCATGGCAGCATCTGCATGGACCAGCACACTTGTGGGATTGTTGGAGATGCAGCCTGGCCGTCAACTTCTCCTCTCACTCTTTCCCTGTCTGTCTTCCTTTCACCTCTCCCTTCACCATCATCCCAATTTCCTCCATCCCTTCCTCTCCTTCCTCTCCCCCAACAACAGGAAGCTGCCTCGCTCGTGCTCTCCAACACCACACACTGCAGTCTCAGCCGTGAGGACCTTGTCCCAGGGAGCAGCTACGTTGCCCATGTGCGAGCCAGACCGGGGCAGGCCAGCGGCTTCTCTGGGCAGTACAGCGAGTGGAGCATGGAGGTGTCGTGGAAGACCCCTGAAGGTAACATGGGTCATGAGTGGGGCCATGCAGGGCTGTAAACTGAGAACACAGAAGTTTCCTGTCGCTAATCTTGCACTTGTGTTCTCTGAAGGTGGCCTTCAGCCCAGAAACCTTCGCTGCCTCTTCGATGGTAGAGATCGTCTGACGTGCAGCTGGGAAGTGAAAAAAGTGATCACCACCTCTGTCCTCTTTGGCTTGTTCTTCAGGGCCACCCCAGCATCAGAGTATGTGCTCTGCCCACAGCAGTGTGTCTGTGCCTTTCCCATTCACCTGATTTCCATTCATCCTCTTTCATCCCCCCAGAGAAGAGGAGTGCTCTCCTGTGCTTGAGAAGACTTTGCCCCACACCTCATATGTGGTCCAGAGCTGTGAGATCCCTGTTAATAATTCCAGCAGCCAGAGCCAGTACCATGTGTCTGTCCGGACCAAGACAGAGGACAAGCTGATTGAAGCCTACAAAAACAGTGAGTTTCTGTGTTGCTTCTTGCTTCTCCTTGTTTCTTGGAGAGGTGCCTGTTTAAGCAAGTGGGGCTGAGGACAGTGGTGGTGAGGAAAAGTGAGTGGGAAATGGAAGAAACAATCACTGCTGAAGAAAGGGACTGTATCAGGTCAGAGCTCTGGAGTGTAGGTGTGGAGTTCCATTCCTCAACAATGGAACTTGTTACTCTGAGGAAGGTGACAGTGATGGAAACTGTTGTGCAGAAATCCAGGTTGTGACCTGGAGCTTCTCAGTCAGCATTTGCCACCCTGCTAACTTCTCTGTGATTCACATTCATGAGTGTCCCAGTGACAAGGGACTGTGGTGAGAATGTTTGTGGCAAATAGGAGTGTGTCACTATGTGATTTCTCAGGAAAGCCAGTGAGCTCTTGTGAGTTTGTGCGATGGCCCCTGGAACACTGGATGAGGTAGGAATCCTTTGCCCAGTGAGGTGCACTGGGTAAGCCATCTCTGCCCACATGTATATGAAGGTATTTGGGTCACTTTTCAAACTCTAAGGCAGCTCCTGCAGTCGGTGAAAATATCAGGAGGTAGCTTCAAGAGAAAAATTTTCATGTAAAATTTCTGGAAATGTGGTGGACAAGTACAGATATTTCAATTACTGCTTTGCTGCTTTTCTTTACACAGGGACTGCAGTCAGTATTTCACGGGTATGGGTTTTCTGTTAGTTAGTGGTCTACTGTTGTATTTGACTAGAAAATGAAGATGCAGAGAGTTAAGAAGTGTTAAAAAGCTGAGCCATTTTACATTGCACAAAACAACCTTGTTTTCAGTCCCTGGAAATGATTCACAATATGGAAAGAGATCACTGAACCAGTAGGTTGGTAAGTGCTCTGAGACATTCAGTGTGTTCCAGTTCAGGTGCTGCCGCCTGCAAATGTGTCAGTAACAGCAACAGAGAACCAAGAGTATGAACTAAGGTGGATAAAACACAATTTGAAATACAACTTCATAACACAGAGATACCAAGTCAAGTACTGGGAAAACAACCGATATGAAAAGGTAACGTAAAAAGTGCAACAGTCGTGGATATTTCTTTGCTGGTCAAATGGAAATGCAGATCTTCTCACCTCTGTCATTTGTGCTCTTTCCCTCTCCCCAGACTCTCCAGGAGTTAAATATCAGCAATGATGAACCTCCCTTCATCTTCACCCTGCAGATGCTGGCAGCATCTACAGAGTATAGGGGGAAAATGCGTGCAAGGGTGAATAGGCCTCTGGAATATGAGGGACCTTGGAGTGAATGGAGTGAGGAGTTCACCTGGAAGACTGAGAGTGGTACTTTTCATGCAGCTGCTTCTGTCAGGTTTTGGTGGACTGTTAATGGCTAGAATTGTTCTTCAGTGTAACACATTCTCTCAGCTGGGGTTGGAGTGAGGTGCAGCCATGGCCTAGTTGGAGTCACCAAGGCATCTGCCCTGCCTGCATCCTTGCAGGCCATGCTAGGGAAGGAAGTGAATGACCTTTTAAGTTTCCTTCTTACTTGCCTTCATAAGATGAGTACAACAAACCACAAAGTTCTCCATGTGGAGAATGAATCAAAGACATCCTGCCCAAAGGAGAATCATTATTTTCTTATTCTAGTAGTCCATTCTGCTGTCAGTGACTAAAGAGCCTGATACTTTAAGAAGATAGAACATAAGCCATCAGCTTTTTATATTTGCAGAGTGACTATAAGGTTGTGCAAAACACACAGTGGATTCTGCTGGAGATAAAGCCTTTACATGTTTTTGTTGTTTATGGGATCAGAGGCAGAGTCTCTGGCATCATACAATCTTTTGGCCAAAGTAATTCGATCTTGCATTATTTGTCCTGAGGAAGATTGAAGTGGTTATACTGTGGGAAAATTTTGATGTATTCAGGAAGAAATTAGTGTGCTGTTGTGACAGTTAGCAGGGGGAACTCTTAGAAAATCTCTGAGACCCCATTTCCTCAGAACTGTGCAGAGTCAGGCAGACTTGAGACGTCTGAAGTCATGCCTGGAGTAAGGTTCATAACCATCCTTTCATTAGCTTAAAATGTTTAATTCTGATATGAGTAAAAGCTAAGAAAGCAATCAGTAAAGGAAGCAATGAACCCCTTTGGTCAGCACACTCTTCAGGTCATGTTTTCCTGTCCTACTTTTAAGGATATTCCAACAGTTAGAAGGCCTTATGATCCTGTCCCTCCACATATCAAATTCCCTGAGTAGTGGCCAGAGTGAAAAACCTGTTGCAGGAAACAGTCACCCTGTAGGCTGATATCTTTTTCTCTTTTCTCTCTTTCAGTTCTGGCACCTGTGGTTCTCCCAGTGACGCTCCCAGCTCTCATCATCGCTTTGCTGGTAGTTGCTTGTTGCAGCTATAAGTATTTCCTCAGGTAGGCTTGCATTGCAACATTGAGACTTAGCAGCCCATGTGGGTGGCGTAAAGTCAAAAGTGGCACCTCTTGTCCCCCAGGAGAGAGGTCTGTGTGGAGATGGGCCTTGGTGGGCAGCCTTGTGCATGGCTGTACGAGGGATGGAGTTGGGTGGTGCTGTGCCAGTGCCTTGGTTGTGCCTTGCTGTGCTGAGCAGCAGGGTGTATGGGGTACAGCCACATTGAGAGGCAAATGTTGAAACATTTGAAATGTTGAAGCAGTTGAAAACTGTTTTCTTGCTGCAGGAAGAAGAAAATGTGGGAGGAAAAGATTCCTAACCCCAGCAAGAGTCTCCTGATCCAGAGCTACCTTGGGGTAAGAGAGAACTGTACCTTGAAGGATTCATTATTTCTCTTTCAGGACTTCCAATAATCTTGAGAGCTCTTCTTGTTTTCTAGTCCACAATAAACAGATATCTTCATTTATCTATTACTTGTTTTTAGAATCTCTGGTCCTAGTCAACATAATGCTCTTATATTTAGCAGACCTTTTTGTGCTGTGCTTGTCAGCACAACTGTGATTTAAAATAAATGTAGAAAAATTTTCAGTACTTTAAAATCTCCTGTTCCTGTACTTTTTAAAGGGGATTCTTAATACCTGCCCAGCACTTGTGGACTCACCAACTCCCAAAAGCAGGTTTCTAGGGGACACTGCTAAGTAGCTCCCTGGTTTCCCTTCAAGCTCCAAGCTTGAAGTTTTCTCTCTTGAAGTCCAGAGTAGCAACTCTACTGTTCCTTTTACTTTTTTCCCATTACTCTGAAAATTTTAAACTCAATCATTTCATGATCATTGTGGCCAAGACAACCACCTGCTATCAAATCCCTTAAGTCCTCTATTCACAAATAACAAGTTTAGGAGGGCATCTTTCCTTGGGTCACTGAATACTTGTAGTGAGGTCAGTGGTAAGGCAATATGGGTTTGAAGAAACCATCTTCTGGAGAGGAGAACATACCTTTGAGTTGTATTAGTGAAGTTGTATCCCTGTTACTAGGTGCTATAGGCTCTCCTATTTGTTTCCTTTGTCCACAAGGAATGTACAATTCCTGATTCTACTGCCAGTGAGATATTGCTCTTTGGTCGTGTCTGCTTTTTCATTTTCAGAAAGGACATTTGGGAAGTTGGCCAACAAGCAACCAGCTGGACTTCAACAAATACAACCTTTCTGAGAAGATGGAGCAGGCTAGTTTCCTTCAAGTTGTGGAGAGGTAAGTGAACATTACATGACAGTGACACTGTGGATGGTCTCTAAGACCTCAACTGCATCGTGGCAGAATATAATCAAATGTTATGTCCCAAAAAATCTTATACAAGTTACTTTTGACAAGGAGATTCAAATTTTTAATACAGGGAAAACTGCATCTGCAAGATTTTTTTTTTTTTCTAGGCCTGTGTGTAGCTACGTGTGTTTTCAACTAAGATTGATTTATGTTTTGTGTTTAAAACAAAGTAATCTCTCTCATGAGCAACTTTTAACTTCCCCACATTCAGGCAGGTGAAGACTTTGACCGAGTGCCTTGAGGACCAGACCAGGAAGACAGATGTTTCCTCTGTTACATCGGACCTGCAGAACTCATACCATGCTTTAAATGAGTCAGAGCATGCCCCCGTTGCCTGCTCAAGCCAGAGTGGCAGTCACTCCTTTCCCATTTCAAGGAGAAACAGTGCTGATGCAAGTATTGCTTCCCACAGAGCAATCCCTTGCTTTGCTTTCAATGGTCCATACTTGTACAACCCGGTGGTGTCCTCTCACCCTGATACACATCAGACCCTGGAAGTGGACCCCATGGGACTCGGTAAGAAATGGGTTTCCCTTCAGTATGTGACTCTCCCAGGGGAAGACTCTCCCCAGGCCCCACAGAGAGAAGAACAGCCAGGAACAGCTCCTCCAAAGGACATGCTCCCAGATCAGAAGGGAATGATGCAGCACCTCAATGACAAGGAAGAAGCCTTGCAGGCCTCACCAGCCTGTGGGGAAGGCACCAATGAGGGAACAGAGGAGCAGAACGCTCCAAAGGCTCTCCGCTGTACCACGTCTCCTCAACTGTGCCCCTTGGAGTACGTTGCCACAGACAGCCCCTTACTGCCATCAGCCAGCTCCTCCACCCATCCTCCACTTCTCACAGCTGAGGAATCACCTTGTGGCTCACAGGAGCCCCAGCTTCCCAGTGGTGACTCCTTCCATGAGTTTTCTCTGGGGAAAACTGGTGTCATGATCCCAGTTTCAGGACAAGCACCAACATCATCTCCTGAATTGCACCTGGATGCATTTGGTGACTATCTTACTGTGCCTGAAGGTCTCCATGAACATTTAAAACCCACAAAGATTTATTTGCCTGTATTACAGAAGGAAAATGGTATTTCGAGAAAGCAGCCTTTGTCAGAAGGTGACTTGGTGGTGTTAAACCCTGACAGCAGTGAGCCAGTTTTCCTTTGCCAGGTTGGTGATTATTGCTTCCACAGCCTAAAATCCATTGTGAAGATGGCTAATAGTCAGGAAGGCCACCAAGTCAAGAAACCTTCTGAAGGCAAGACAACACTTGGGCAGCCTGTATGTGATGATGAATCCGTCACGGGCAAGGAAAAGGATGTATGGAAGAGGGAAAAAATACAGACCATTCAGCTTTTCAAAAACCTGAAATCAGATGATTACTTTTCCTGGCAGCAATCTCTGGGGATCAAAGAAATCTGTTAAATGGGTAAATAAATATTAACGAATACTAAAGAGACAGGTCACTGAAAGAGGTTCACTATCTGGTGAAAATGAACCCTCAAACCTAGGGACAAATAAACACCAGTTCCATTTTCAAGTTTCCAGTTCAATGTGTAAAAAAACTTGAAGTAGCTCAATATCATTCTCGGTGGTCTTCACAGATTTGGCATGAAAGACAACACAAATATTGCCCTTCAGTGTTTTTCAAACTTTTTGGCTTATCCATGATTAACAGTTTATCCTCCTCATGATCCTGTAATACATCACAATCATCTTGCAATTACATCAGATTGCTTGGCAAAACTCGTGGCAGGAAATGCAGACTTAACAGCTTGAAAGGCTATCAGAAGAAGACAAGCTTGGAAACCTTGGAAAGAAAAGTTCTATACCTAAAAGCAATTTTATTTAATTTCTGTGCACTTGTAAAATACCTCTAAAAGTCACCAAGGAACTTCTATATCTCAGCCTTTCCATTATGGCATGAAATAGGTATTGTCTAAGGTGGAAAAAAACCCAGACAGTTATAGAAGCATAAATAAAAAATGAGAAAAAAATTGTTGAAATACAGGAAAACTTTATGTTAATGTGCAGTATATCATGGTGGATTCAAAGGATGAGAAGGAAAGATTACTGGGATACATAAAGCAAATTGTAGAGAACCATTTGGAAGAAGAAATGATACTGAAAGAAAACCCAAGGGCTCCTAAGGTTCAGTGAGAAGGAGTGAGGCAGATGACAGAAAATGGCAGCTATGAGATGCAGGGAAGGTGCACAAGCCTGTAACTGCTGGGGTTCTTCTGCTTCTAAGTGCTGAAGTACTGTATGATTTTCTTTTAGGTTCATTGGCTGTTTATGCATTATTCATCCTCGTGTGTAATTGATTCTTGGTTTGGTTTTTTTTTTCTCTTAAATAATGAGAACTGAGAAAGAGGAAAAACTTTTTTTCCATTTTTGCTGTATAGGAAGTGGTGCAAGGTAAGAACATTTCTTCAGAACTGCTACTCTGTAATCAGTGAAAAGGGTTTGGTTTCAGACCTGAAGGCGGACTTGACCTCCAAAAAAACCAATTTTTTTTTAAAATATAAAATCTGTATTAATAAACATATTATTTCTTCCTGATTTTCATTTCATATGTTAAAAATACTGTGTTTATAATTAAATTACTATTAGCTAATTTGCTCAGGTCTCAGAAAATTCTGTGGGTTGAGCTATACCATATGTGAGGCAGGACATTTTCTCCTGACTTTGCTGTATTACTTGACAGAGAATATGTATTTTGCCGCCCAGTTCCTCCTGCTGGGTTAATGGGACTGTGCTGATTCAGAAATTACAGTGAAATTATTTGGGTTTTGAGAACTTAATCCTTGTAAATACCATTTTAAATCCAAAAGGTGTGCAAATTGAACCTGGTGCTCTTCACAGCAGAAGGCAGGCAGTTGCAGCCTCTGATAGAGAATAATGATTTAACACTTTGAGAGATTGCAATTTAGACCTTTTGTAATCAATGGATTTTTTTTTTATTAATCTCTTCTTTGGCCTTTTATAAGTGGCACAATTAATTTCTTCCAGGCTGTATGATTGTGCTCTATCGAAGCATGTCCTAAAAGGAGATGTTCAAATTCATATGCAAATATTGTATCTGAATTCATATCTTAGATATGCATCACTTTGCTGGGCCTTGAATTGCTAGGGTTTAATAATCAAGAAGAATAATGAGTGGGAGAAGTTTTACTCAACTCAGTGGCTTTTGGATAAAGCCCATTTGCATTGTGATCAGTGCTTTAAGATGTGATCAGTACTCTGACAGTTCTCTGTTCCTTCTGTTCCTCTGCACTTCACTGGGCATTTGCAGAGGCTGATTTTGGAGACAGGATTTACAGGTAAAAGCACATTTGTTATGATCCCACAGAGACAATATTATCATCAGAATGAGCCTGGAATTTGCAGAGAAACATGGCATTGTCAAGATAGGGAGCTGCACAGTGGCTTGCTTTCCAACTATAACAATTCATTTACAGCAGAATGAGTTTTTGCTCTAGGGATGCTCTCTTCAATATCCACCTAACTATCATTAAATAAAATATGTAATGAACATTGGAAACAGAGCTCATGATCTATGGCTCTTCTCTGACAAAGGAATCCACTTCTTACTGGAATCAAAACTTCTATAGACTTCACCTGTTGCTGATCCTATGAATTTTCCATTCTCTTCTGCATGAGGTCCAGGTGCACTGAGGGTGATAAAAAGCATTTTACAGTCCTGTAGCCTGATTCAAGACTTAGAAGCAGTCATGAGTCCCAGGTCTTCAACTTCCTGATCATTAGCTTGAGCCATAAAGTTACTGTGCTGCTCCCTTCCCCTTCAGTGCCAGGTACTGATGTGAAGGAATGGAATCATCATGGTGATGATTCAGGAGCCAATTTTGACATGCTCCTGTCTGTAGGGCTTCTCACTAAGTAGTTCCAGACCCTCATCCTGTATATCTGCATGATGAGTCACCAGTGTTTCTTACACAGTCAAAAAACAAGTTATGAGATGATTGCAACCTTTTCCTTACTGCATACTCAAACATCAAAGGTTGTGCCCATGTTTTAACAGCAGGCATTTTTTCTTGCTCTGAAGTAATAACTTTATGATAATCTTCATCAGCCAGAAACATACTACTTGAATTTGCACGAGACTAGGGTAGGAAGTTTATTGTGACCTCAGTAGTTCTAATTAAGGTCAACACTGAACTGGTCTGTTGCTGCATTTCTGTAGGTTTGGGAGTTGTCTCTTATGTAAGGAAGGAAAATGGGGCTGAATGGTTTGCTAGAAAGAAACCCTGCGGTGGAAAGCCCTTCAATACCTCAAGGAACAATAGGGTGAGAATTTCAGAGAATCCTGTATCTCTGCTGGGTAATGGAAAACAAAACCAACCTATCATGCAGTCCCTCCCTAGTTTCTTGTTCACAAGTATGTTGTACACACAATTTTATTCCCATAGAACTCCACTCTGTCTCTTCTCCTCACTCCCTACATGCTCCCTCTGCTCTCACTGTGGAGATAAAATTTCCATGAAAATAAACTCCACATGTCACATTCTGTACATGGAATAAGTACAGGGAATAAGTAACACTATGACTTCATGCCTCCTTTTGCTCTTTATAAGTCCTCTCAAGTGTATGCCAGGATTCCATATGTTCCAACCCTGACCCTAACAGCTCCTCATTCTACACAATGGATGTTTCACCATGAGGTTCACTGGGTGAACCCAAACTCCTCTACAAATTTGTACAACATGAACCAGATTTAGGTCAAAACCTTTGTGGATTGGTTGTGTGCTTTCCAGCTTGTTGGTAGAGAACAATTTGGTCCTCATTCTTAAATGATGATTTGTCTAGAGAAGTAGTTGTAAAGATGTCTGAAACAACTGGACAACTATCCTCTCTTTAAAAATTTTCCAGCTCCTTGCTTGCAGTGTACACATACATTGCAAAGGTTTGGGATGAGTACTTTTTAATCTTCTAAGCTGTTTGTCCTTCTGTGGCACTCAAAGTTACATAAGATGTTGACACACACTTTTGAGCTTATTTCATTAACTGCATATTCAACCCTTGAATTCCATTACTTCTCTCTTTGTTTTGCTTCCGTCCTGAATTTGGGGATTTTAATTGGAATAATTTTGGCAAGTTTCTGTCTTCTAGTGCACCTCTTTTCATCTCAGTATATAGGGCATAATGTTAACCCTAGTCAGAGCAGTAAAAGCAGCTGAGGTTGTTGCCAAGCAGAAAGGTGTGTAGGGAGCCATGTAGTGGCAGTCCTGTGCTCCCCTTGGCATGCTTTTTGTAGCTGCAGTGCTCCCAAATCAGGGAAGAAAGGGGAACAAACACTCTGGAAGAGAGATATGATCAAATAAAACGGGATTGGAAAAAAACAGAGGATTTGAAGTGACTACAGCCAATTATACTGAGAGGAAAAGAAGTGCAGTTACAAGGACTGAAACTTGCCAAAATTAAATCCCCACATCAGGGAGGAAGGCTAAATAAAGAGACAGGAGAAGAAACTGAAGAAATTGAATGCTTAAAAGAAAAAAGAGACAATTCTGAAGCAAAATGAAAAGTACAAAAGCAAATGGGATGACATGAAATTCAGGAAAACAGACCGAAGCTTGCCCAGCAGGTCCTCATTGGAATCACAAGATTTCATTCCTGTAGTGACAGGACAGTGGGCAGCAGTTTTATACTGACATAGGATAGATTTGGGTTGGACATAAAGAAGAAATTTTTACTATGAGGCTGGCAAGACAAAGAAACTGGCAGCTCAGAGAAGTTGTGGATGTTTATTCATTAGAAAGGTTCAAGGCCAGGTTGGATGGGGCCTTCAGCAACTTGGTCTAATGGAAGATGTCCTTGCCCATGGCAAGGGGTTTGGATCCTTCCAACCCAAACCATTCTGTGAATCTCTGGTTCTGTGATTCTAATCTCCTATCCCTTTTATAGCTTAGTGTTTTCTCCATCATCACTAGTTTAGAGCACCCCAGAAAAACGGTGCCTTTCTCAGTCACTCAGATCTCTCAGGTAAGAGATCTCTCACCACTTGGTCTGTCAGATAATTAATAAGCATGTTGAAAATTATAATTTTCCCAGGAGAAACCACTTAAATCCTTTCTCCAGTATGAAAACTAACCAATATTTTTTTTTTCTCATTAGTTTTCTGTGTTTAAATTACTTCAATCTACATGACAACCTTCCTTTTATCTCTTAGTTTCTTGGAAATGCATTTTTTGAGGGACTTCAAGCTCTTTAGACATCTAGGTATGAGGTATTAATTGGATAACCCTGTACATGTTTGCTTCTGGAGTTCTTCAAAGAACTCTACCAGGTTTATGAGGCATGAAAGACTCTTTTTTATAGAGAGATGCTAACACTTCTCCAGAACATTTTTCTCTACTACTTCTGTTTTTTCTTACTGTTTGTATCATCCTGTGTAAAAGCCAGCCTGATTGGTCAGTAGTTCCCTGGATATTTCTCTGAGTACTCCTCAAAAGCTTTCATTTGGTATTTCTTTTTCTCTAAAGCTGAGGCGTGCTAAAGCTTTTGATTATTTACCTCAATTACTCATTCAGCAATTGAATGTTTAAATTCCTTTGCAGATTTATATGATAAGAAAGCAATTGAGTAATAATATAGGATATGCAAGGCTTGTAAAGAAAGTAAATATGTTTTATTAAACATTAAAATTTAGTTGGAAAATATGATTTAAAGTTATCATTTTTCTCTGCATATCTTGCCTCATTTACTTTTTCAGAACATTAAGGCTACAATAACTCTATAGCATGGGTAGACTTACAAAAGGCCTAAGTTCACTTTTAAAATTTGTATAATATTCTTTAAACAGCTCCTTTGTCCACTGAAAACATTTCATCCTTTAACAGCTTCTTAGCCTTATTTTTGCCAATTTGTCCCTAAAACATTATTGTAGTAAACTTGTGCCTTTCGTTGTTTCAGCTTTTACTAGGTCTTGCATATTTTTCAGGACTAAATCTGTTTGTTTTCTTCTGAGTGCTTTCACAAATAACTCCAAGAAGCAATCATTTACAGTGGCTAAAAAAAAATAGACTCTGTGGTTAGATTCATAGTAGCAAATAAAGTAAAATAAAACAAAGCATTTGTCTTGATTTGGTTGCATAGTTTTATATGCTCTGCTTATCCAGGTTATTGCTTTTCTCTGTGTTTTTCTTACCTTCTATCCTATCCCTTTTTCTAAGTCATAGGCTTTCTGTGATTTCAGACCACACAAATAGATCAATCCAAACAATTTATTTTCCACATCTGGCATCATTTCCTTGGTTTTCATTTTAAAATTGCCTCATAGTGTCTTTAATCTTAAATGTCAGCAGCACTGATTCTGTTTTGATTAGGTGGAATCCATCTTATATAAACTTAATCTGCTTCAAAATGTTACCAGATACTAATAAATACAATCCCCTTTTTCCCACAGAGTTTAATCAATCATGCAGTGAGACTCTGTTATCTGACAGAGTGTATAAAAGCAGGACCATTGAAGAATGTTACTATGTAGGACTGCTTTTTTCAGCCTCCTGGTTTAAACTTTGCTTTCAGAACCTCTCACCTGCTGTTTCTTTGTTGTTGGGCCACAACCATTGGGTTTTTCTTGGCACGTACTGAAAGAATGTCTAGAAACTTTGTGCTCTGTCACCTTTTCAACTGCATGTGCCTTTTCTAGTAAAATGTTTGTCCGTTTTTGTGTTTACTTGGTCATGAGAAATGAAGGAGATATTTTCCTTTTTTCTGCTCCTGAAGGGAGCCCATCCTACTTAAGAAGACACCTCTCAGCCTTTGCTGCACATGTTACCTGTTGAATAACTCCTGGTGCAGTTTTGGTAGTGTCCATGTAACTCCAGATCTCCTTTTGGGAGGTGACATCCTCCTGGGGTGGAGACCAGATCCAGCAGGTGGTACCTGGCTCCTGGGATACCGCTCTGTGACATCACATGCCTGGCAAAGCTTCCACTGTGCCCAAGAGAGGCTGTGGATGGTCTGTACAGATATGGCAACAGCCACAGGTGTCTAAACAATGGCTTCATCCTCACGTCCTGTCTTGGAGCTAAAAGGCTTGGCTTGTCTACCTGTTCGATCAGGTTTTGTCCCACTTTGGGACTGAAGTTTTTAACTGCTTTACAGATGGCCTTTTGGTGTCTTGTCAGCTCATGATTCTGTGTTTCCTGAATGGATTTATTAAAGTATTTCAGGTCAAAGAGCCCATCCCAGTAGCCCTGAAGAGATTACCAATCAATTTATGACAATCTGCCCACCGCTTTTCATATACACTCATGAAAGTTGCTTTCACTAAGGCTCAGCAAATAGAGAAGGAGAAATTCTGAGGTTTAGACTATCTCTCCTGCTTGCTCTCTGTATCAGGAGAGTTTTCTCCAACCTTTACCCTAAGCTGTTGCTAAAGGCTCTAACTGGATTTCACTTTAAATAGGGAATTAACACGCCAGTTAACTCCCTTCGTGTGACCTTTAAGAAGAAAGGCACCACTTCCCAGCCTGGCTCTTTCAGCCTTCCCAAACCGGAGCTGACAGGCCTTTTTGGCATAGGTATGTCCTGACACGGTCAGGCTGCTTTTCAATGCAAGCTAACCAGGAAACTGGTGCTGCCAGACCCTGCCATGAGACCAGAGCGGAGAATTTGCTGTCACTGATCCCGTCACACTCCAGGAAAGCTCAAGTTGCCACAGCTCTGCTGAACAGAGATGCCTCAGTTCCACCCTAGGGAACTTGAATCTCATGTTCGCCAAGCATTGCTCTTTTGCAAAAACATTCCATCTGATAGGCAGATCCTTGGTGTCTAGGGATGCCAGAACCTAATTGGAGTAAATTAAGTGAGAGGAGTAACAAAGTATTGCTTGGAATCACACACAGTGAGACTGTGTTTAACAAGCATGAAAAAAAGAAAAGGCAATTATTTATGAATGACTGAAGTTTCAAGAGACATAGTGCATGGGTATTCACTACCAGTCCTCATCTTTCTCCACTGAGGTCTCTCCATCTAAGTGGGAAAATTCTTCTGCCTGTTAAGAAGAAACTAAAAGGATAAGTTTACACATCTCTCTCTCTCTTTTTTTTTTAAATTTTTTTTTTTATTTTTTAATCTGGGAAAGGAGCATGAAGAGAGAAGCATACATTTGAGAAATGTGAAGACAAAAAGTCTCCATCTTTGGTTTCATGTCCATACACTGTGTACAACGTTCATTTTCACAGTATAGTCTTGAAAATTATTGTTAAGTCTGTTTTCCTTTAGCTTTCAAAATTTTTTATTTCTGATGCACTTCCAGCTGTCACTGATTCCTAAGAAACTGTGTACACTGTGGCAGATGTAATCCAAAACTGCCTGAGCTCTGGTGCCTTCAGTTGCTGAAGGTACTGCCCAAACCTGCAGAACTCTCTTCACAGAGGCTGCAGTCCAGGCTAGAGAAAACAGAAAGAGAATTCATTGCCTCTCACTTCTTTAGATGCCACCAGCCCCTTCCTTTTTCCCCCAGAGATTCAAAAGAAAAATATATGTTAAATTACACTGTCTCTATTTGAGTGTATTTGCCTCACTTCTATTGATGCAGAGTGATATTATCACTTAAATTAAAATATGTAATCAGAGTGTGGCTTGAATTTTAATCCCTCAGCTGTGTGGGTTTGGTTTAAGCAGAATCCATATTTAGTAGTGCTACTATGAAGTACTCAATAGTGCCATTACATACTCAGTAGTGCTACTATTTGAATGGAGACAGTTTTGTACACATCAGGCTTAGCAGCAACAGTGTGCTTTTGAGACAGCATTCACTATGTAAACCAATATTTTGTTTAATGACTGTTTAAATTTATGGAAATTAATTTTCCTTTCAGAAAGCATTGGACACCAGGAGAATCGTGATTTAAAGGGCAGGTTCTGAGTGCAGATTAACAGAAAAGGGAACAAGCAGCAAAGTTCAGCTTCTGTTAAGAGATCATTACATCTCACTGGCAGAAAAATATCACAGTTCTGGGAAATTGGTTAAGCAAAATGTAACAGGAAGTAAATACTTCCCTGTTCTTTTTAATTTTATGACATCTGGTCAGGAACCTACTTGCTGGACCTATGCTAAAGTCAAGATTTAGTTAGTAACACAGCTGTCAGAGCAGAGGCACAGCACCTGTGTGAGTGAGGAACTCGGCCATTACTCATAAGTGCTGGAGCCTCTGGGGTGCTCAGTAACAGGTATTGAAACAAAAAGTGGTGAAAATGTTTGTGTCTTCATTCCAGCTGCCAACTACCACTCAGCGCCTCCTGGTGGGATGGGAAAATGAATGGAAAAGGGAAGAGTAAAAGTGAGAAAACTTGTGGGTTGAGGTAAAGACAGTTCAATAGGGAAAGCAAAACCTGCTCATGGAAGCAAAACAAAACAGGGAATGCATTCACCATTTCCCATGGGCAGACAAGAGTTCTGCCATTCCCAGGAATGCAGAGCTCCATCCATAATATGTTATGGTGTCTTGGGAAGACAAATGTGATTCCAAACATTCCCCTGCCCTCTTCTTCTCTCAGCTTTATGTGCTGACCATGGTGCCATGTGGTATGGAATATCCCTTGGGTCAGTTGGGGTCAGCTGTCCTGGCTGTGTTCTCTCCCACCTTCTTGTGCACCCCCAGCCTTCTCACTGGTGGGGTGAGGCAGAAAAGGCCTTGACTCTGTTTTAGCACTGCTCAGCAATAACTAAAACATCCCTGAATTATCAACACTGTTTCCAGCACAAATCCAAAACACAGCCCCATAACAGCTACTGTGAAGAAAATTAACTCTATCCAAGCCAAAACCAGCTCTCTGTATCACTGCACGCTGATCTTTCCAGAAATGAACACATACTGGGAAGACTGTGATCCCTTGCCTGACATGTGAATCACAGTACTGAACACCACGGACTCTGTGGTCTCTCAAGCAGTAACTCTACAATGGCTGAAACAACCTGGTCTTGGCAGCCTGTTTCACATTTTGGACCTGACAGTGACTTGGCTCAGGCACAGGTGTTTCTTGCAAGGTTAGCTCAAGGTTCCTGCCCTTGAGCTGCTAGGAAAGGCAAAATCATTCCTTGCCATCTTTTGACTGCTGTTTCTAAAAATCAGAGCACTCAACCAAGCAGATCCTGGGCCAGCAGTTCTCATGACAGCAGAGACAACTTCAGCTCCTGTTCTTGGAGTTTGAATTCTCAGGAAAGAGCACATTCATTTTCCCCGGTTAACACTGATCTTTCCTCAACATAGGCTCAGCTCCTTCTTGCATGCAGGTTTTTCCCAAAAGAAAAAGGAAAAGTGGGGTCTCTGCAAGTCCAGCTATGAGGTATGTTTGTTTACTGATACAGGGATGTGAGTTTTTCAGCTGCTAGGTTTTTGAAATGTGTTTTCCTTGCCAGGAAGCTTTCTCCTTTCTGTGACTTTGTAGCTAAACAGAGTGGGTGTCTCTCACTTTGGCATATGACTTCCTAGAGGCAGAACTCTTGCTAAGGCAAGTGGGCTTATTTGGTGGGCATGGCAATGTATTCACCAAATGAAAACAACCCACAAAGGCAAAGTTGAATGTCTTGCTTAATGAGGCATCTAGTTTTTTGCCTTAAACAATAGATCACTTACTCATATCTTGCCCTTACTGACTTTTTACTGAGATCTCTCTTGACTGCTGGAAGAGCAGTGGATTGCTGAGAGCATTTGTTTGGCTTTCAAAAAGATCTGTAATCATGTTCTTAAAAGTTGTTTTTCTAAATGTCTGCCACATTCTTTCTCTTGTTAAGGGGTACAAAAGTCAGCACTACACTGCTTAGGTCCTGAGGGTCCTTTCATTCAGCTTGGACACTTGCTTATTGCAAAGCTATGCAGAGAATTACCAGGACTCAGAATTATGCTTATCCTAGGACACTGATACTGATGTGAGCACTCAGCTAAATAAATTCCCATTCAGCATTACCCAGTTGGTTTTGGTGCTCTCATTTCCTCCAATAACAGGCTTCTCACTGGGGAGAGCCTCTCTTTTAGATTTTCTATGTTATACTCACACTTAACCAGCCTTCCATCTGTGTTGGGGTTTCATGGAGCATCAGGCCTCTGCAGCTCAGGAAGAGAAACAAAGGCACCATCACAAGTCTTAGATGATAGTTCACTGTGCCAGAAAGGCTGTCCTTGCATTCCTTTTGTGGGGGTGAGAAAGGGAAAGATGTGTTTGCAGTTTTGGCCAGTGTTATGAGGCTCTTTGGATCCAAAGGCATGAAGCCTAATGAGGCTTCATCAAGCTTAACCCTTTAGACTTATCTATTTATCAATTCCAAATTTTCTGCACTGAGTGTAGGCCGGAGTCTTACTTTTCTTGTATGACCATTTTGATTTACAAACATGCAGAGTCAAAGACTTGAGACATTTTCAGTTCAAAGACTCATGATAAAATTCTGATAAAAGGCAAAGAGTCCAGCCTATTCTAAGAGCAGCAACTGATGTTGGAGATTTCTTGCCACTTTCCCATGAAGGGCCAGTTTTGACTAGTGAAATAACTTCAGATCAATACTGCAGATATTCCCAGCAGTTCTCATCACCTAGCACCTCTCTTCTCTGTCTCTGCTTTCTCCAGTCCAGTAACTTGTGTTAATTTTACCATTTCCCACTGTGTTCTCCAGCCTGATCCATTTTCTATTCAGAAAACCTCCCAGTGAAGACCCTACAGTGACTACAGTATCACCCTACAATGACTATCTCTGAGAGCTTGCACATGGGTGGAGTGTTCTGAGGCTCATCAAATCATGAATGTGACTCCAAGCTTTAATAACAGCTGTAAGAACAAAGTTCCTGGCTGGTGTCCTGTGAGGGGCCTGAAGAGGCTTGGTTGATGAACCTGAGAGATGGAGCTGGGCAAAAAGACATGAACAGGTCTTGCAGCTAGCACAGTATC